GAATAAAGATGTGCATTGCACTAAAGTACAAAGTAGCATCTCATTTCTTCCAGTAATCCAATTAGTCTTCTTCACAGAATCTTTTTGTAGTTGCCTTCACCCCTCCATAGGCTGTGAGAAGAGAGAGTGTAACCAATTTACATGTCTTCAGACTAAGGTGGTAAACAAAAGAAATACAGAGTATGGGGAACTCGCTGTAGGCATTTGGAAATGTTTGTTTGAGAGGAACAGGAATGAAAAGGGGAGAAGGGACATGAGGTTTTAGTGTGGATATTAAAGCAGGTTTGGTGATAGTTATGCTCACCAGAAGGATTTTTTGTGTGTGTGGATACACAGTTGTTGCTGCTTTGCATGGATTATCTCTTTGCAGTGTAAGGGAAGGAATGAGAAGTGGCATAGAATGATCTCTGAACGATTGGTATTCAGCTCTCAGGACTCAGGAGTGAGGACTTTTAGTTCAGTAAATCAGAGGACTTGCAATGTCAGGGACATGTGTAACAGGGTGTTATGCAAGCGGGCTGTCAGTAAAAGAAGGATTAAGGAATTAGCTGATGCACAGTTCAGGAGTCTAGGAGTTTTGCAGTGTGAAATGGTGAGTTAGAGCAACTTGAATTGTTTTCTCAGGACATAAGGATTGTGATCCATCAAGTACCAACCATCTTCCTCTAAGTGCTCAATTTCATCATATCTTCGCTAACTTCAGTGTGAACTGAAAGCAGTAAAATGCTCTCAGGTTTGAGCCATTCAGCAGCACCACAGCTTCTTGGACTGTTGTGCTTCTGTCAAGGATTTTTAAAGACAGCAATGTTAGTGAAAACACTGCAGTGAAATTACTTTGTATTGTTCAATCCCTTTTCCAGGAGAAGTATTAAATTTGGAGCCTGATTTTGATATTACTTAGAATAACGCAGAAAGGATTATGGTGATGCCAGTGGAAGTAATTAATTTGCTTTGTGAATAAGCAATTGTTATGATTACAATTATTTTTCTAAAATCTGTTTAGCGTGAGATGAAGGCTGAGTTCCTTCTAGCCTACACCCCACCTCACAGCATTTGAAGAAAAAAAAAAAAACAAGAAAAAAAAAAAACAAAAAAAAGCATTTCAGTTATGCATTTCAAACTTGTTATTACTGTTTTGGCTATTTTGTCTCGTTTTTGCAACATAAATTTCAATATAGCCAGGATCATACATGAACCTATTGAAACGTAACCTTCCTGCATACTCAGAGCACTTAATTTGGATGCTGTTGGGATTATTCATTTCTGTATCCAAATCACATTCTGAACTTTTTATATATTAAAAGAAAGCAAGAATACTTCCTGATTTACCTGCTAGACAAGGGAGTACAGTACTAATGTACTCATGGTGGTACAGATAACTAAATCAAATAGATCTTAGCTTTTCAATTTCTGTTTGAATAATAGGAGTTGGGACTATGAACATGATTGTTTGTTACTGGTATTTTATGCAACACAATCAGTTTTTGCCATAAAGAATTGATATTCCAATATGCAAACCATGGAAATTCAAGTTAATATGGGAAACAGATGGAAAATAATGAATCTTTATCAAGATTGATATGACCTAAGTAGAAATTCTAAGTATGTTTCGCTTTTTAAAATAATTATCTCAATTTTCAAATTATGTTTTTCAAGAAATTGTTACAAATACCAGTACTTTGTGTTTGGATGCTTCAACATAATGCAAATGCTGACACTTATTTCAGCAAGAGCAGGATCTTACTTACTGTTTTCAGCTAAATGCATAATTTTGCTTTTCTATTCTGTTAAAAATGAATTTTAATTGTAATATATTTTGTCATGTCTTAGTATAAAATAGATATGTTGTCCATACTATTTAATTTTTAGATACCTGTAAATTTTTAAAAGTTGTAGTGTATGTTAATTGGTGTAACATCCACTCTCATAGTGTTTATATTTGAAAGCATGTTAGCGGTGTATTCTTACAGTAAAGAAGTTTAAAAGTGTTGCTAGATAAAATAAACACAGTCTGATGTTTCTAGAATAGTAATTTAGAGTTTCTATTTCTCAGAAGCAGAACAAAAAATGATTGTTTACATCCAGTGAAGGCAAGATTTATTTTCCAAAATGCAACATAGTCTGAATAGCAAAAAATTTCAAGAAGTCTGTGGGTGGGTATAGGGAAGGATATCAGTCTGCATCTTCTTTGAAAGTAGGCAGATAATTCTGTTGGTCAATCAAAGCTTTTAGCGATTAACTAAATGAAGTTTGTTGATGTCAAGCCATAAAGTGGTAATTTCTTATTGAGTAAACCTTTATTATTATTCTTTTGCATAAAGAGTTTTTCCTTCATTTTATATCTGAATTAAACAGTTGTAATGTTGGGCTACACCAGTCTTTTAGAGTAATCCCAGCCATATTATGGTGATCTAGATTTTCATATATATAACATATGTAGCTATGGTATTGTGTGTCCTACAATGCTGTCCTAAAGTTAAGTACTCAGTTTACTTCTGTAATTATATATCTGGTTATGAGACTATCTGTCTCCAGAGCTTTGCACTGATGGTGTCGTGAAATCTAGTCAGACCAGTTCCAGCGTCAGATTTCAGATTTCTGCTGAGATTGAGATTGAAACAGCAGTTGCAGACTTTTTTGAAATGGAAATTAATGGCATATAGTCTTTAGGAAATAGTTGGTTTCTTTGTTTTTGTTTTGTTATTTGCTTTGTTTTGTTTTTAATTTCTTTGTTATTGCTTGGAAGATGTTTTGGATCTTTAAGGATATTTTTATACAACTTAAAGTTGAAATTCAGTATAAAGTTTGTTTTTTTTTTTTTACTAACTTTAATATCAGAAACATTTAAATAGTTGCAAATAATACATCTGCGGTGGTTCAGTCTAGTTTTTCACAAAAATTTTAAAGTATGACTTTGCTTGAAGTGCAAAAATGATTATTAGAGTACTCATTACATAGATATCATAAAAGTAAAAATAAATAAATAAAAAGTAAACAACACCTTCAGAACTCTGACAAATAAGGCATTAACTTGAACTCTGTCAAACCTCTCAACTGGATTCACATTCCCAGCTTCAGAAATCAAAGATCCATGAAAGATTTCAGGTAGTTTTTTTTTCTGATTTTGTTACGAATATGGATTTTGTTCTTACTTTTATTCTGAATCCATTATTTGTTTTCATACCTTCTTATGTTTTTACATTCTTCTGCACATACATAAGCACTTAAGCCTAACTTTAATCGCAACTTTGCATGTTACTTACGAAACCAAGCAGGATCTGGCAAGTTACAGTTGTCAGAATCTCCGAATTGTTAATATGTCCTAAGTCAAATGAGTCAGTTAAACTATATACTTGATAAAAATATCAACATTCATTATATTTATCCATTTCTTAATTTTGTCTCTAGATCATACATCCTGGTTATAAAAATTGTGGCTTTGTTTTGCTAATAGGAAAGTTGAAAGAAAGGGCATCTCAAAATCACCTAATATGTTGAGCTGCACTTTAAAATGACCATGGCCTTTCCTTACTTAAAAATGCATATTCACAAACTCTGAGGTATTTTCTATAGGATTATGTAGCTCATGGATGGCCTAATTTTTTTTACAAATGCAAAATGGTATGTTTAATTTTTTAAGGTACTTACTATGTAAGTGGAACATACAAATGTTTTTTAGCTTCAGAGTATACTGGACTTACAAAGACTTGATTTTGATACTGTCATAACAACTGGAAATATCTAAAATGGATAAGATTAGAAAAAATTCTAGGGCATGCATTTTTATTTCTGATTAGCTTGATTTCATAACAAGCTTGAATTTGTAATGAAGTAACACGAGAATGTTGCTAATGCATTTTTGGTTGTATTTTTAATTGGCTTGTTGCTGAGATTTTAGATGGCATTTTGGTGATAAGACTGACAAATTTTTAAGTGTTATTTGTACATACAGACTCCACAAAATCTGGATGAATGGCTATCAGTAGTTATCAATCCTGAAAACATACTTTTGTAAAGGTAAAACTTCATATTAATTCACTATTATGGATCAGATGGTACCTTAATCATTAAAATTGTAAGACTAATTTGTGAATATATATTGGAAAAAAAAAACCAGCTAAGTATAATATGCATAAGCACTGAATTTTTATCATGGGTGTCATTCTTCACTCACAACAATAAATCAGTGAGGAATAAATTTGTTGACATTAATGAAACTTGTTTAAATAGGAGGAAGGTTAGGATTAACAGGAGATCCCCTTTGTTTGAAGATATTTGGGTAAACTTTTTAAGAGGGGCAAGCACCATATTTTTTATTTTCAAAGTCTTCAACATTTAGATACACTCTCCTACTGTTCTTCATCTTCACAGGCTGGGTAACAGTAAGGTGTACAACATCCTGAACTTTTGTATTCTGATATGGGTAATGGGTTCAACAATCAAGGTCATGCCAATTCAAGATGAACCATTTTATCTGTTCACACTATGCTATACTTGCTTTCACCAAGTGTTTGGTTTTTTGTTTTTGTTTTTTTTTTTTTAATTATTACTACATTATTATAGATCTTTTAAGGGAAGGTAATTAATGTGAAACACATTTTGTCTTATAATTTGGTTTGCAACATTAGCCTGGAAAGAGAGGAATCAGATGAGAACACTCACGTTGACACAATCTATGATAATCTTTTCATGTGAGAATAATACCTGCATTTGCTTAATCTTTTAT